GGCATATGTAGTGACATGCTGGGCTTTTCCTTTCCCTGCAAAAATCTCCCGACTGATTTTTTTTTTTTTTTTAATTTAATCATCACTTTTTTGCCCGAATAAAAATATTGTCCCTGGCTGTTACCAACAATTTCAAGTGAAACTATGAAATGAAGCATTAGAAGAACTGAAATACCCATCTCTGCTGAGCTTACGATTAGGGTTGAAGCTAATATTTGATTATTCTAGGAGTACCATTTTCCTCCATAAAAGCACCAGAAATGGAAAGCTTTTAGCCACCTTGCTTTGATAAGAGGCCTTACCCACTGTGTAATTCAGGTGAAGCTGCACTAAGTGTGCATATACCAAAGCATGAGCAACTTGATGGAATCAGGACTTAAATTTCTCAGCAGATTATTTTTTTCTGTATTTGCTTTTGTACCTTTTCTCTGCCACACCCCAGCCCTGCCACTCCCTCTCTTCTGTTTCTGACAAGTGTTGCTGTTTTAATCGGGGCTGGGAAGAAACTAGAAGTAGAAAACATTGCATGTTATTGAGGAAAAACAAACAGCTTTAATAGTTTTAAGGCTAGGCTGAAAAACAGTCTAGGTGTTTATTTTACAAGGAAACTAGTGGGTAGGTACAAACTCTTGGAAAGTTTACCTTTGTTGAGGGCAAGACCCATTTCAGGCTATAAAATTTGCTCAAGAAAAGCAAGCTGTTGACAGGGAAGGCTGTAATTATAAATGGCTGAATTTATAGATGAGAATGCTGCAGTATCACACCACCCACCAGTTTTTTAGTTAATTAATAATTATTCCAAGCAGTAGCTGATGGGGAAAAGGTGTGTGGTTAAAACAGTGATGCAAGCCATAAAAGAGTACCTCTGGCTGAGATTAGGGAACCAAACTCTAGTCTTTAAAACTTTGTAAGAGAATACTTGCCTTCGGAAAAAAGTGGGCTAGAGGTAAAGTAATGTTTGTAAATACAGATATTGTTGGTAAATTATTGGATATTAAGTCCAACCATTCATTAACATAGGATATGTTATGCATTATGCATAGGATAATCAGTTGTAAAGCACAAGAAAACAATCCTCAGCATACCTTTTAGTTATTATAATTATATAATGTATCCATACAGGATGGATATCTAAGTATGGATAGACCATTTATGGATGTGTCTTCAGCACCATGTGAGTCTGACTAGGTGAGCAATACATATCAGTACTATTGCATGAAGTACACAACATATGTTTCACGGTATTACTCAATTACATTTCTGGTTATAGCCCCAGATGAATAATTCAGCTCAACTTCAACCTCTGATTCACTATAGAGTTAAAAATCTTTTCAAAGCTTTTAGATTAGTAAAAGAAAATATGAACAATTTCCAAACCTCTTTTAAGGGCACAGAGAAATAAAGATATTCTATTTTTTAGCAACTTAAAATGTTACCTAAACTGTGAGATTCTTTTGTGTTACTCTCTTAAAAAAAAAAAAAAAAAAAAAAAGACACTGCTGAACTGTTTTCATATTGTTACGAAGGGATGACAAATTACTACTAAGCTTCAAAGCCTATTATAGTACCTTCTGAAAGAACTGAATGTTGGTTAAGGTATCATATGAAAACGAACAAATTCTCAGTTTCACCAGGGGTTATCATACAGAGCTTGTCATTTTTTAATATTTTTATCTTTGTGTAACACCAGGGGAACAGTGTGACATCTTATTTTTCAAGAGTATTACATAAAAAACTATCTTATAGTTCAGGCAACCATAACAACAGACTTTCACTGGTTGTGAAGTCTCTTTGATCTCAGGTTTTGCCAATTCTATCATCTGTTTGAAATGGTTAATGCAAAAATCCATTGCCCTGTGTCTGTTAAGCTCATCAACATCCAGTACGAAGACTTGCAAATAGCATCTTGGATCCGTTTAATCTGTAAGAAATAACTTCGGCCGTTAGAAACCTGTTATTTTTTCCCCTACCACCGGCCCTAAAATAAAAGGCAGTTGAAGATAATTGCCTCCTTAGCTGTTGTACTGCTTAATGTTTCTTTTCTTTTCTTGCACCTTGTGGGTTGTGTGTACTTGCATTAAATAATCCACAGCAATGGCTACAAGTACAGTTCACATGCATTGCACTGTTACGCTCGAATCGAGGCACTTTCACCTTGTATCATTTTGATAGTTCAGATTATGAGCTCAGACTTGTACTCACATATTTCATACTGGATTGCCTCACCCCTGCTTTGAGTGGGAGAACCTAGTAGGTGCGTGAGACCTGTTGCAGGACGGAGACTGCATCAACGTGTACCTTTGAATGGGTAAACTCCATCCCCATCTCGGTAAACCTGCTTCCAAAGTGTGTTTTAGCCTGTCTGCTGAAACACCAAATGATTTGCAACAACAGAAAAAAATGCTTATGGACGCAAGGCACTTTAATGTGGAATAATTCAAGTTAACAAGCAAATCAATTTCAACTAATGACAAGTCAATTCTATCTCCTAAGGATGCTGGTGCCACTTTTATTCTACATTTTAATTCTCTATTAACTAATTCTTTTAGTTTGGCTGAAGTAAGATCACTGGAAAGTAGGGCTACAATGGGTCCTTATGAGTCATCTAATCCAGCCCCCTGGCTCAAGGCAGGATCATCCCTGACTAAAGCATCCCAGGCAAGTGTCCATCTAACCTGTTCTTGAAATGTTTTAATTCCTCCTCGTACTTTAGGTTTAATTCATTCTCCACCATGTGCCGGAGTAGCATATTTTAAAGATTTTCAGCCCCTCAAACAACCTTTTGGTCTGTCACACCTCTGAATTCCTTTCATTATTTTGTTGCTTGGCATTGAGCCCAAAACTCTCCTGGCATCACTCACTAACACACTGATATTATTTCCATGAATCTTCAGTACATCAGTGAAAACTGTCTGACCCCCCTCTGCACTTCTTTACAACCTAGACAGACCCGACTTCAAACAGAAAGGCTTCCTTTTCCTTCACTCCTTTCTCCTCCTTTCAAAACAAACAGTAGTTCACACAGTTGCTTAATTTTTCCTCGGGGTGTTTCAAGGCATATTTATTAGCACTATAAAAGCTACCAACATGTTAACACCAGGGTGTGTATGGGAGGGAATGAGACATTTTTGATAGTCTGTTTGCATAATACGATACTTGAATTTGGGATCTAATTTTGAATTAGATCCCTTTTCAAAAGAAGAGAGGCACGGTTTCGCTACCCCCATTTCTGGAAGTCAAGGAACAAACTAACACAAGGAGAAATAGGATCTTCGTAGCATATAGTAACTATCCTGGGGTTGCAGTGACAGGGCATCTGCAGAGCCTTCATCTTCCCTGCTTTTACCCATGGGTGAAAGCATCCTACTGGTATTTTGGAGATTGCTTCTTGTGGCTAAGTACAGACAATCAAAAAGCCCGAGGGTGAATTGATTCAATCTTCTCACGTTAGCCTAAACTGTCGACTGAACCAAGAAGTAAGTGAACAGACATCCATTTTTGATTCCAGAATGCAGTGGCCCAGGCCAGAAGCCAGGGGGCGAGACAGAAGTTACACATAAACCAGTTTAAGTGATCAGAAACTGGCTTGAACCTGCAACATAACGGAAGTTTAGTGCACCTAAACCAGTTTCAAAATGACTGAAACTGGTTTAAGATAAAACCTGGTTGAATGTAGTATCAGATTTAACTGATTTAGGTCAAACCAGTTTATGAAACTTCTGTTCCAGACTCCTTCCTAGCTCAAGTTAAATCACAGTCCGTCAACATCCCAGGATGCTTTGCAGCCCTGGGCTGGGCTGAGCTATTTGAGCAGAGCAGGGTTCACCCCGCCCCTCTGCTCCCTAGCTGGAGCAGTGATGGCTGGCTGACAAGGGGGTGGGGGTAGGAAACCTGGCTGGGTTTCTGCCTGGGGGTGGTGGCAACCCCTGCCAGACTTTTCCTGCTGGAGCAGAGGGGGTGGGGGTGTGGGCAGACAGGGTCAGGCAGAGGGGAGGAAGAGGGGTTTAAACCCCGTCTCCCACCTGCATGGGACCCCAGCCAGGGTCTGCTTGGGAGGGAGCCAGCAGACCAGCAGGGTCCACCCCTTCCCATCTGTGGCAGAGACTGGAGCAAACAGTTGATAAGGGGTGGGGGCATAATTCCCCTCAGTGCCCCCAGGCCATGGGGGAGGTGAAAGAGACTGGGGAACCAGGGCTGGAAGGACTGGTTCCCTGCCACCAGTGAGCACAGGGCCAACCCTGCAGGACCAGACTGAGAGGTGGGAGGTGTTGGCAAAGACCTGGCACAATCATCACATGTATGTGCTGGAGCCAGAGCTAAGGGAACAGGAGAGGGTCCCAGACTACTTGGGCTAGTGTGACTAAAGAAAGTAGAGAACTACATTTACATTATAAAGCAGAACCTGTAAAAGGTGGGAGACTGGAATACCTAAGCTGAGACAAATCGCACCAAATTCAATGCCACTACCTTTTTCCCCACCCACCCCTTCCTCAGCCTGGCAGGGGCTCCTCTCCACCCTTCCTTCGAGCAGGTGGGGCAGAAGCCTGGCAGGCATTGCCATCCCACCCAGGCAGACTCAGGCTGGGGCCCCTGTGTGGGATTTAAACCCCCTCCCTCCAGTGTGCTAGCCCCGGGCTGGGGCCTGGCCGTGTCCGCTTCACTCCAGCAGGGAGGGGGAAAAAGCCTTGGAGCTCCAGTCCCTCCCCTTTGGCAGCTGCTGGCAGGCTTCAAGGCATGCTCTACCACCCCCGGCTTCTGGCCTGGGCCACTGCAGGCATGTGGCTGCATTTCCCGAATCAAAAGTGAATGTTTGTTCACTTGCTTCTCAGTTTAATCGCTACATTTTAGACTAACCTGCAAAGACTGAATAGATTTAGCCTCAGGCTTTTTGACTCTCTGTTCTTAGCCTTGGAGCAGACAGCTTGGGCCAAGGTTAGCCCACCCACCTTGCAAGGGGAGGTTTGCAGGGCGGGTTGGGGGTTTGCAAAGCATCCTGGGATGCTGGAGGACTGCGAGTTAACTTGAATCTGGAGGGGATCTGGGACAGAAGTTCAATACACTGATTTAACCTAACTCAGTTAAGTCTCATGCAACATCCACTCAGCTTTATCTTAAACTGGTTTCAGCCATTTTGAAAGCAGTTTATGCGCACTAAATGTCTTGTTGTGTGACAGATTTGAACCCGTTTCTGATTCTTTACACCAGTTTATGTGTAATTTCTGTCCCTAGCCTGTAGCTGTGAATAAGGGCTAGAAGTGATAATTTGGCGAGACCTATTCATTGACTGCCACCACATGCAACAACGCCTGGAAGAGCACTTATGCAAAGTTCCCAGGACATTAGTCTTAAACCAAAATATTTCAGAAGGGAGAAGCCGTGCTTGCAGTTCACTTTGAAGTGAGTAGTAATGCTGCTAATACAAAGTGAAAGATTAAATCAGACTATTTCAATAAGTAGCTGCCCTGGTGCATTAACGCATCAGCATAATAATGTGCCAACGATTACCCTGGTAACCTGGCATCCAGTGCAATGGGGATCTGATTCTCATTTATGCTCTATTGCTGCAGTAGTAGTAGTTGGATGTAAATTATTTTTGTCAATAATTCATAAGATATCACAAAATGCTCTGTAATATTCACCAGGATATGGGCAAGCTGGTTTTGACAGCAGCCTTTAACTACCCTAAGGGGTGTTCCTAAGAGGATGGAGCTGGACTGTTCTCAGTGGTGACAGATGACAGAACAAGGAGCAACGGTCTCAAGCTGCAACAAGGGAAGTTGAGGTTGGATATTAGGCAAAACTTTCTCGCTAAGAGGGTAGTGAAGTACTGAAACAGGTTACCCAGAGAGGTGGTGGGGTCTCCATCCTTGGAGGTTTTTAAGGCCTGGCTCAACCAAGCCCTAGCTGGGATGATGTGGCTGGGGCTGGTCCTGCTTTGAGCAGGGGGTTGACTGGATGTGACCTCCGGAGGTCCCTCCAACCCTAATTTGCTATGATTCTGGTGATCCTTCACTCCGGTTAGTGAAGGTAAATACCTTCAATCAGGTGAGATTTTAGTCCTGTGAACCCACAAAAGACTTGAAAAATCAACTAAAGGAGGAACTAACCACACAAGGAAGAATACAATCTGGTATTCTGAACATAATCTGGATTCTTGTTTTTTTCAAGTTTTAAACGCATCAAGAACATAACATATGAGCACGTTTAAGTAAAACAGGCAAAAATACAGTGACAAGCAGACAATAAGAGAAACAAAGAAGAGTCTTAGGATGTTTGTGGTGTATTTACACATGAAACTTTGCCAAAACACGGGAAAAGAGGAGTTAACACAAGCAAAATGTCAGATACGTAAACCTGCTACTCACTCAGTTTGTTATCCTTTAAACAGTCTAGCATTTTTCTTAGGAGCAATGAAAAAAACCCCAAATATTACTTCATGCAATGTAGCAATATTTGTAAAAACAGAATTCCAGCACATGAAGAACTTTAACTCGTTCAATTTAGTAATTATTTTTTAAACAAAAAGACACTCAAAATATCCCAAGGAGTTTTTAAGATACAAGCCCTGAAACAGTTTTCTTTAACCCTTTCATGTCATTAGACATTACATTTCTTTTTTTGCATGCTGGCTACTCACAAGATCTACCTTTTTAGGCAAAGGAACTCTTCACATATCTTAAAGAGATCTCTAAATGGTTCCAAATGATGTGGAAAATGAATCGTTTTTAAAGTGCAAAAAAAGTCAGAAGAGCTTTCCAGTGAATAAGGTAAATATACGGGAGTAGGATAAAGCAGACAGGGCATCAGCTGTATGTGGGACAGCAGGAAAAAGGCAGATCTGAAATCCACGGTTATGTTGCACAAAGAGATATACGGGCGGAGGGAGACTGGGAAGCAATTGGAGGGTGGGGAATGCATCAATAGCGCCCAGCAGAACTTTAGACCAAGGCTCTTGAAACCACCAATACTGACAATAAAGAACATTTATTACCACATCTGACTAGCTGAACTGCCAGTGAAGAGGCCTCACAATAGTTCCAATTATAGCCCTGACGGCCTGACAAGCCTGAGAATGCAAATGCCGCTTCACCAGCCGCATCGCACCCCAACTTACTACGCAAAACCTGAAAGAGCCACCAAAAGACGAGTCCCTGACAATAACGACAGGGCCGCAACGACAGAGCTGCAACTTCAAAAGACTAAATAACATCATATGGCAAACTAGCGACTAGGTATTAGCAAACTGTGTTATCAAAAAGTACAAAAGGTTCCAAAAATTTCTAAAAATCATTGTGTGTTCGGATTAGAAATCGTAACCCGTGGCATGGCATTATTTTAGCAATCACAGGGGCTGGATCCAATTGCTGGTGTTGAACTTCTTGCAAACCTGTCAAAAACACAAGGTAGGTTTGTAACCTGCTTTAGGGTGAACAATCACAAGCTGGCCAGACAGCTGGTGACCTTGAAGCCTCCAGCAGACGTTTCATTGTATCCTCCAGACACAATGCTATTTCAATCAAAATCTCTTTACTTTGGTGGGCATAAAGGTCACTTCTTCCAATGCCATTCTAAAATGCATCTCTTCCTCCACTTGAATCACATATGTCCCAGATGGAGTCCTGGCTTGGACTCTTCTTAGGGCACAAGAAGCGTGTCTCAAATTTAACTTTAAAAGGGTTAAAACAGCAGGAAAACAAGGCAATTTGAGCATGAGTAAAAACCCAAGTTGTGTTGTCTTTACTGCTGTTTTAACCAAAGTCTGCTCACTTGGAGTTGCCAGTCACATTAAAAGCACGTTTGGGTGAGAGAGAGATGGCAATATAGACATACTGCACATGATCCCCTTATACCGGTCAGCAAAACCCATGCTGAACGTAACAGTTCCCACCCCTTGCAAACCTGTCTCTTCATGCCATTGCCCTTGGTGAGACAGGGTCGTGGAGAGATTTCCACTTTGTCTCAAGTTCACTTTGACCTTTCAGATTTCAACAAAGCCCCAAAGCCCACAGTGAAGTTTTTCCACTCCAACTGCTTTGAAACAAGCACCAAGTTATGTGGCTTCTCCCCAAACTCAGGTTCAAAGAAAGATTTAAAGACACAACCAAAAAGTAGATGAAACCAAGAAAACCAAAAGTTATTATTGGCTTTTGTTGCACAAGGTTTGTGAATTCCAGCAGTGACTTTAGGGTTACATTGCATCTCCTGGATCATACGGATCACTGCACCAGGGCAAAAAACCTGAGCCCACGTCACCTATACAGCCATGTCTGCTACATCACTGATCAGACCATCCACTCGTTGGTCATTTAATTATAGTCTCTCAAATTTAAGGGTACAGTAGAGTTAGACACTCATCAAGTTGCCTTGGTATTCACTTCTACCTTCACTAGTAAACCTCATGCCAGAAATCTCATACTAATAATTTAGAACATACTGCAAATGATATTTCATGAAGAAAAATATATAAATAAATCAGGATTTACACCAAACTTCAAGATCTGGATCAGTTTTCAGTAGCAATTCTTTCTATACTTCTCTGTATTGTAACATCAAAGAGAATACTTAGTCCTCTTTTCCTCTCCACCACTTAATTTTCTAGGCCAATTGTTGTACAGCCTTTTTACTTTTAATATTAGAAGTGTGGAAATGCCAAGAACCACAAAAGTTAACAAACTACATCTAAATATACAGTGGGGTGGCAGAACTTCCTTTGCTACCCCACTGCCATAGGTACTTTCGTCCGTCAAATGAACCTTAACCAAAATGTCCATCTGCACATTTTCCAAGGTTTCAGCAGTTTTTCTTTCTTCCTTAAAAAATAAAAATAAAAATTAGAAAGAGATGATTAAATACAAGGTTCCTCTGGAATCTGCCTGCAAAGGGGGGTTATCCACGGGTAGTCATCTCCCTCGATCTGAATACTTCTTTGTTTTTGTCTTTTTCTTTTTGTCCTCTGTTTTGGGTTTCAGTGCACAGACGCAGGCAGATACCCCAGCGATTGCTTTGGGAAGGTCAGTTCCTTTGTACCACTTGTTCTTCTCCTTGTCATACACCTGGACAGCTTTGGAGAAGACCGTATCTTCCCAGCTGTAGCCTCCCAGAATATAAATCTTGCCTTCCCAAACGGCCACTCCAGACTCACTGTTGGCTTGCAGCAAGGGAGAAACTCTGGTCCACTGGTTACACTGCGGGCTGTAAGACTCCACACTCAGGATGTCAAAGCGTGCCATAGTCTCAATGTTGTCATCGCTGCCACCGATAGAGTAGATACTGTCCTCCAAGGTGCACATACTATGCCACCCCCGAGCTGTGATCATTGGCCTTTTTTCCTCCCAGACATCCGTACGATAATCATAGCAGAGCAGGTTTTTTCGGTAGGGACCGATCTGATAGTCATGACCTCCCGAGATATAAACAAATTCCTTGTAGACGGTGCCAGCATGACCATAGGTAAACCTAGAAGAGGCAAACAACAGTAAGAAGCCATAGGGTTTATGATTTTGGTCAAGCAGTGCCAATATTTAGTAATGAACATTCCTGGTCTTTATGTAGTGAAACCCAAACAGAGACCTTGTGGTTCTTTACTATTTATTTTTTCGATTAAGGAGTGATTAAAAAGTTATTTCTATTTTAAATAAGTCTCAATGAGGGTTGTCTGGAAAACAGGGTTGTTCTACTTCCCCAACAACAGAAAAAGGCTCTAGAGAAAAGCGTAAATTCTCCCACCTGCTATTATTAAATGTTGTGTCCATCACAAGACTCCCAAGAAAGAAAAATAAGCCATTTTAAACAAAGAAGGAGAGATTTGCTAAGTAATGAGTCGTTACCGATGGAGTGTCTGTGTTTCCCTTGGCTTCCAGCAGGTGCCGTTTAAATGCACAGAAAACGTAGCCTATATCAGGGGTCGGCAACATTTTTGGGCGGAGTGCCCCAAACCCCTGCAATCTTGACTTGTAAGATGTTGGCATGCAGCAGGGGAGCTGTGAGGGGCCCAGTCCTTGTGGCAGCGCAGCCCCAGCCCCTTCCCTGCTGTCCACCTCGAGGCACGCATGCACCGTCTGCCAGCAGTGAGTCAGACTGGGGCTCCCGGGACCCCAGTGCAGCTGCTTGCAGCCTCCCGGCTGCCAGCCCCAATCCAGCCCAGGCTCTGGGCAGGCCCCTGCCGCCCACCATGGAGCCCAGCCTGTTTGCAGCAGGTGGTGGGAGGCTGCAAGCCGCTGCACCGCGGTCCATGGAGCCCTGGTTCGGCTTGTTGCCGGAGACAGGTGCACGCACGCCTCGAGGTGGACAGCAGGAAAGGAGCCAGGGCTGCACTGCCACAACAAGGATCGGTCCCTTTGCAGCTCCCCCACTGTCCATCCCAACGCGTGTGTGCCAAGCACAATGCCTTCACGTGCCATGTGCTGGCACGTGTGCCAGGGTTGCCTACCCTTGTCCTATATACATTTTGGATTGCTGAAGATGAGCTGTAGCAAAGTAAGTATAATTCACTGGCTGGGGGTAGGATTTTCAAAATTCCCCTCAATTTCAATAGAAATTGGTCCAGGGCCGAGTGCTTTTGAAAACCCCACTATGTATCCGTATACCAAAGACCTTTCTTATGCTGGATCAGGTATCATCAACATTCACAGAGAATCAGCTCCACGGCACCTGGCGTGTCCTTAGCACTTTCCCCTTTGTAGAAAGGGAGCTCGGACAAAGGCAGAATCTTCTCCCATCTAAAATAAGCACCTGCCTCTGCAAATTATAACTGTAATTTTTCTTGGAAGATATTATGCTAGTTTGAGGCAACCAGAGACATCACAAATGCTCTCCCCAAAACTCCCGAGTGCGGAGTTTAAAACTGTTTCTCTTCTTGGAGAATCTAGGCCACATCTACGCCAGACAAACCACTGTAAAAGACGCCCGTCTTCCTCACTTCTAAATGAGTTCCTGTGAACCGTGGCTGTGAACTGACAAAACACTTATATCACCTGTGTGCACGTATGGCTGCACCTATCCCATAGTAAATGAAGCTATACAGAGGTAGCTTACACCAAAATTGCTAAATTACTGGTCTATCTTCCCCCTACTGTGGGATAGAGGACACAGAAAGCTGTTAAAATAGATCAGTCTGAAACACAGTAAGCCTCCCCTCATTTTCAATTCATGCAACTGTTTCATAATTAAATAACTGGGTTTTTAAAAATTAAATTCAAACAGTGGATTAAAAAAAAAAACCACACACAAGGATCTTCCCCAAAGATGGTTGCAAGTGGCAGATTGTCAGAAATCTCTCCCACTTCTCCCTAAAAAAGATATTCTATGCATGCACAAAGTAAATGTATTTAGCGTCTGCTTCAGAAGCAATTCATTCATTCTTTTGTCCTCCGCTCTTGCCACATTAAGTATTTATTATTTCTAGAAGTTCTGTTGCAGCAGAGATTTTAACTAAAAAACACTTCCTGCCTATCAGAAAACAGACTGCCATAAAGGATTTTACAGAGATCCTATGATGAGCTTCCTCTTTCCTGCCCTTTCAAGTCTAACACATTACTGGACAGCGGAGACACAGAGAGCTGGTAAAAAAAAAAGTCAGTGTAGTGCACCGTACTTCCCACCCAGTGACCGCGCCGGCAGAGATCGCTCCTATTTTTGCAATAAGGACATCAAGACAAATGCTTCTTGGGGCTGCCATTTTAGCTTTTGGCCATGAGGTTTTAACAGTTTTAGGGCCTAACCCCTGTAGCAAGCAAAAGCAGATTAAAATAATTTAGCCCCAACTTATTTTAGTCCAGACTCAGGACCCACTGTGGACATAAAAGCAATGCAGATTATTTGCCCTGCAAAGATTCGCTCTCAACCACAGACACAGCAAACCCACTACCTTATCTTTGACCACATCTACGTTCCAAGCATTCTTGGAGCGGGGGGGAAAAAGCAGCGAACCACAATTACCCTACAAGGAAAATACCCTGGAGGGAAGTGAAGACATCCTTTATTCCAGAAGCATACAAGCTCCAATGACCAGGCAGCCCCCTAACAAGTTTTCCCAAATAAAAGTGATCTGTCTCTGACATTGAGAAGGAGGCAGAAAGGTCACTGAGACAAAGTGCAGACCACTAGACTTCTATCCCACTTGACGGAGGAGGCTGAAGCATGCTCAGGACGTGGGTTGTGGTCACCGAGCACCCAGATGATCCCCAAAGCCTCAGAAGACACTTAAAACTCTGTATGAGGAGGGTCATTATCCACAAGACTAGTGGGTGATTTTCCAAACATTTGTATGGCAGTTCGGTTCTTTGCTGTCTTCAGCATATTGGAATATCTGCCTTCTAACGTGTACTGGTGAGCATACTGACATTAGGAGGCATGACAAGAATCCCCTTCCGCCCCGTCCAATTAAGCAGAGAGGGGTACAAAAAAAAATAAAATCAAACAAATGTACTCAGCCATATACAGAGCATGCTAGGGAATATGGAAACTTTTAATCTCAGCTGCCAGATCCGCTTGCATGTACATCAGAATATGTACGCAGCTAGCTCCCCTGGAGTGCTCTGGGCCAAAGCCCAGTTGCTGGTCTGAGCCAAGGTTGCTCAAAATAGAATTGGACAAAGGAAGCCTCTGCCATGTATGCCCTTGCTAGCTGCCTATGTCTCTGCAGTTTGTCAGCTCAGAGGATAAAAATATACCATGAATCTCCCTTCAAGACTGTCTGAAGGGTCTCGTCAATGATGTCACCCAGGAACAAGAGGGCAAGCCTCGCTGCTGAAGTCACAGGTTTCAGGGCATCCTGCTCAGACGGTGAAACTCAAAAGAGTCTCATGCGCTATCACAACACCTGCAAATGATATGCAGGTAGACTAGCGAAGCCCATCGTCAACAAAGGATCGACATCCACATCTATATGTCAGCTCAGGAGGCAAGTACAATTTAAGGGTTCATCTTCAGGGTACTATCCTCTAAACCAGGAAAACTGATTTTTAACTTATTCATACAACACACAGGCCCAGGCTACCTAATGGATCTGTTACCTTAGGGTGGAGACTGCTTGAGATCAGTGGGATTGTTTTCACACTACCTAGAAAGGAGAGTTGCTCAAATACCATGAACTGGGAATATTCCTCCTCCTTATTTCCAGGATCCCAATTGAATGGCCAGGCCACACTGGTTCTCAGAGCATCCCTCTCTCTACAGAACAGGTTTCTGAACAGATTGCTGTTACCTTGGCAAGCCTGCTATATAAGACCACGCGTCTTTTTGTGGGCTATAAGTCTCCACTGAAGAAAGTGCCCCGTTCTCATTTCTTCCACCAACAGCTATCAGCATGTCTGTAATGGCTCCCAGGTAGAAGTCGACTCGACGCTGTCTCATGGAGGCAACCTGCAGAAAAGCACAGAGCATCGACATCCTCAAGGGCTTGTCTAGACTACAGACCCCTGCTGCTACAGTCCTGGTGTCACAGCTCTTTCTACCACTTCCCTAAAACACATAAGCTAGTCTGATAAAAGCATTCTTCTGCTGGCAGGACGGTATCCGTGCCAAGTACTTTGCTGACATATCATTTTCAGCTGGAGGGTATAATCTTCTCGCACCTCAGCAAAGCTCGGCTCATTCAGTCTAACTAGATTGGGTGCATGTTCATTATGGTTAAGAATATTTGATCCCTCGCAAATAAAACAGCCTTCCTTCTCAAGCATACAAATAATCTTGCATCCGTGCAATGAAAGTCTGTTCTACATTAAATCGTGTGTCAGCACTGGAATTAAAGGTCAGAGACAATGGAAAGCATGCATGAGACAAAACACTCTATGCTCTGACAGTACATAAATCCCCTTGTAGTACTACATGTGTACAGGGATACTCTGAAAGACTCAAAAATTGAACCACCAGAAGTTGTCAAGGCACTAGGGGCGTTTATACACACGCTCCAGGAGTGTGTGTGTGTGTGTGGGGGGGGGGGGGGGCCAGCAGCCTTCACGTAACATGTATTCAGTGTTCTTGCATTTCAAAATGGTGGCAGGGGTGCTTTAACTAAAGCTTGTCCAACGAGCTTTAGTTAAAGTGTCCCTGCCGCCATTTTAAAGCACAGGTAAGCTGATACACAAGACACTAGCAAATGCTGGAGCACGGTAATTACCCCACTCCAGCAGACTCGATTAATCAAGGCTGCTCCACCGCGCTGTAATTACAGAGCATCGGAGCAGCCTCACTGCTCATGTACAGGCACCCAAAGACAGAAGATCAGTCCACAGTGTAACATCAGCTGAACCTTACACATGTCCTGTCCTACCGGGGCTCTGACTTGGGAGGCAAATTAGCTCATAGATGTTGCTTTTTGCACTGCATTTTGGACCAAAGTATTTAGTCACTCAAAGCTGAAGGCAGGCGCCATGTTGGATTTTCAGAATGGCTGCCTAGCTCCCAATAAGAGTTGAAAATCTGGCTCCTCAACACTGATTTTTTTTTTTTTTTTTTTTTACAAACGGCATAGTTTTTCATCACTTGTGCAATCGAGCATTTAAAGACATGGCCCAGGTAGCTATGTATAGTTGACTGCTTTAAATTTTTAAGCATAAATAGATCATCATATGCAAGTAAGCATGATGAGCATTCTGTCCTTCCACTGCCAAAGGGGGAAGCAAATAACCATTAAGGACTTTGAAAAAGATGTAATACAGCTCAAGTCTCACCTTTATCCACTGGTTACAGCGGGGATCATACCTATATAGAAGATTTGAAGCTGCATCCCCTCCGTTGTCTCTGGAGAAGCTGCCTCCAGCTATGAAGATGAAACCTCCCAGCACCGCAACACAGTGATGACTTCGCCTGGCTGGGAGCGGTGTTTCTGCTACCCACTGCCCCTTTTTGGTGTCCAAAAAACAAGTATCGTCACTCAGCTCCAGGCACCGCTCTGAAACCTCGCCACCCACAAACAGCAGCCTCTCTTCACTGGTACGCAGAGCCGTCCGCTTGTTCTGAAGCACCGGCTGGGCCGTGACGTTATTGTGGTAGTTCACTGCTTCTTCTATGAACCCCTCGCAGTTGGCTTCCTTTGGGAGAAGAGAGCAGACAGCGGGCTTGACTCGGTGAAGGAGGTCACTTTTGGGTATCAACGGGAAATGGATATTGTCCAGGACTTGATGAGCCTCATTTTCCCTTTCTGGGTACTGTGTCAGCCACTGCAAGGCAGCCTGCAGCAAATCGTGCTCGCACTCCTGCTGCACGTTGCTGCTGTCCAGGTACTGGCAGAGCTTTTGGATGGAAACGTTCTGCAAGAAGTCGGGTGTGAAAGAGAGCGTGCCGAAGTTTTGCAGGATGAACGAGTCAATGTAGGAGTCCAGGCGTTTCAGGTTGTAGATAGAAGCCAGCTCCTGCAGGTACAGATAGTTCTCCTCGCTGACTTCATTCTCGAGATACTCACAACAGAAGTCAACCACTTTCCAGATCTGCAGCAGATGGGCCGTCTCCAGCACGTAGTCGATATTCCCGCCATCTAAGGACAGCTCGCTGCCGTAGAGAAAATCCACCACAGCTTTGAGACCAATGTAAGAGGCTCCAAACAGTTCGACCTCTTTCTGATAGGCCTCCCGCATGCCAATGGTGAACATAGAGTTGAAGTAGTCGCTGCAAACGGCCAGGAGATTGCGGTGGGCAGGAACTCGCTGCTCTTCCACTACCAGAACAATATCACAGAAGAGGCCGCGGTGTCTCTGCTCATTCAGGCTTTGAAGCACCAGATTGGAGTGGTCAGCCCATCTGTACACCTGAAATAAAGAAACAATATCAGACGGCTGTTCTCTTCAGTAGACCGGCTCACAGAAAGCAGGCACTCTCTCTTGTGAAAAGTGAGAAAAAGCACATTTTTACTCTGCATTCATGACAGATCCCAATTTGCAGTAGCTCAGTCTGGCATCCAACCAAGCATTTCAAGTACAACCTTCTTGCCCTTGCTGACAAGGAACTACATAACTTGTTGCATGTTACTGTTCATCGCTGCCATCATTTCCTCCTACCTCCCTGCAGCCTCTTCTTATTTGAAGGGCTTGGGAATGGAAAAAAAGGGAAGGGGAACTCAGAAGTAGCCTATCTTTGAGACTTCAACTCTAGCATGTAAATCCCCTCTAGGAAATATAACACAAGTTGCTAAAGGTAGGAAACATCAGGCCTCACTTGGAAATGCAGGGCTAAGCACGCACTCAAGACAAAGGCCCGGATTCGATAACATGCAGCGACAGACCCCTGCACCATGCGGGGCTCTGCTGACTTCATGGCAGGATCTTTCAAACAGAGTCCTATGCAGATGTGACAAATTCAGGCAGATTAAGCAGACGGCAACTATGGCAAACCAATGGGACGGTCTCTTGCTGACAAAGGTGGTTGGGTTTTTTTCAAAGTGACATCATTTAATCTGCATGTCAGAACATATGTTATACACTGCAATGTACAAATAGTGGCATTACACGGATATAATCCCACAAAGCACAAATTAATACTTTGTGAATCTGCCAAGCTTTGCCGGCACTTTTCTCCATGCATGATCTTACCTTTGTGATTGAGGCAAAATAAGAGGTGAGAGGGAAACAGTTTGGGGCTTGCCCCCCTGGAAAAAGCTTTACCAGTTATAGTCATACTTTTTCCAGGTGATCACCCTTACTCTGATATCCCAGTATTCTCTTTTTATTTTAGTTGAACAAGTTATTTCCTGGGCAAAATAAGCTACATTGAAAAAAAACAACAAAAGAACCCCCACTTTTCTACTGGAATAAGGTGGTCCACATGGGCCAGCAAAGGGGAAGGTTATACCAATATAGCCATAATGGCTTGAATTTGCACCTTTAGTTATATCTTCCCAAAAATCTTTCCCTCCCACAAAGACAGAGTATTAGTCTAAATTCTTTGAAGCAAGAACGAAGTGCTTATTCAGTAGCAGGAGGCTCTTATCTCAAAGCAGGGCCTGTAACTACCACTGTGACAAACATCTGAAGAGGATCATAAGGGGTTCAAATATTCTCCGCGGGCTCCAAGGCGAGTTGCGCCCGGCACAGAATGCATTTAAAACTCGTGTTACCTCTATTTCTTCCTTTCAACCACATTATTCGATGTCATAAATCACTCCAAATGAAAGAGGAGTATGCAATGACAACATGCTACATGGAGCCTCTAAAAGGCAAACCAGTAACTTTAGGGCGCCTCACCTTCCTTTTTAGAGGACGAGCAGATTTATAGCATCATATTCTGAATCTCCTTATTCAAAGTTATTGGATTCAACCAAAAAACACCCATCCTCTCCTCTCTGAAACGGGCTGATTAGTGCTCTCGCAAATGCTTTAATGCCGTTCTTTGTGCATAACGAGATTACAGCTGACTTTACATGTTACCAAAGGCCCTTATGGACTAAATCCCGAATACAACAGTTGATGACAAGTTGTATTCCCAGCTCCTTGTCCCTGTGGGGAAGTGCTCCCCCTTCACAACAGAGCATTAAATGAGCACGTGTGACGTTACAGAGCAATGCTTCAGAATAGATTAACACACTCCATCCACTTACCAAGTCATTTGTTCATTCTCACATTGAGAAAAAATGAGCCCAATAACTGCAAATTTCAAGACTGAGACACGTTTCATATGAAAAACAAACAGTTTCCCCACATTTATTCTGTACACAAGGTTTAAAATTAACTAATGAGAGAGTCCGAGGTTAACAGTAACAGCAGCTGTATAAGCACAAAAAGAACAACCCCAAAACAATGCTGTCAAGATTATTAATTTTTAAAGGGATGAATTATTAAAATGCTTGGGCAGAGAGACCACGTTACTTTAAAAATGCATTATTTTAAATAAGTCCTCTGCTTCTATCTTAATATATATTATTACAGCCAACAAAATCCTGAACGTCTCATTTATTTAATGGATCATTAATGAAGTGTCTTTGATCCTTAATGAAGCAAAAAAAGCGGTGAGGCTTTCCTGCTCTGAAGAACATACTGAGCCACACTACGGAGCCAGAGGCTTTCTGGCTCTTTTGCACTAGCAGAGTCAGGACACGCGGATTGTAGGTACCGCAGAGCCATGTTTAAATACCAATCAAAGCAGAAAACACACCGCAAAACAAAAGTCTTTTTTCTCCCCAAACTAAATTAATAAAACTATTGACTTCAGGGTTTTAGAAAACATAGGCCTCACTTCTACATGAGCATATGTAGCGTGGATCCCTGCAGAATCCTAACTGAAGTCAACCGAACAGCACATCGATGCAGGGATGCATCCGTGCCCCTGGTTCTTCAAATACCCTAAAAACAACTTCTAGCCATGTGGACAGTCCCACCGAGGTCGGCGGTTCTGCTCATGCATGCAAGCATTTGCAAAATCAGGGCTCTGGTTTTCTGCAAAAGCAAAAAACTCAGGTCTGAATCAACCAGAAATGATGTCTTTTAAAGGTTAGAAATTGGTGCATAAATTTAAAAGAAACTGTAAAAGGTTAGAAATTAGTATATAACCTTCCAAAAAACCCCAAATCTCCACTATTTGAGTTACCAGAGAATCCCAGTGCAGAGAAGCTACCCTGTTGTGATGGCACACTGGGTTTTTTCATGGTATGTACCTCTCTGAACAACAGCTAGTTTTCCAATTGCAATTCTTAAAATAAAGCTGCATTTGCATAAACTTTGAATGTACTTTATTACCATGAACCTAGCAGCTAAATATCAACTTGTCTCAGTCCTGTTCTTCCCAATTCTTAACTGGGGAGAGGGATGGGATCTCACCACTTATTTCATTTTTTCCAAGAGAAAGCATTGTTGGTTACAGGTTGCGGCGAGAGAGATTTAAGTTCACAAACCTTTGAGGATTCGCTTATTTTGTGCGGGCGAGAGATTCTAGTCTGTCGGGTTCCCTCCATTATTGCACGATTTGTGGTCTTTCTGGAAAAGAAAACAGAAAATAAATCACCCCGCTCTCCGCCTAAAATTAACTCCGTAACTACAGCCAACGGCCCTATATTGGAGAAGAACAACAGGGCTGCGGACACGTATTGATCCATTATTTCAAGCAGCTAAGGGGATGGAAATCGATTCCTTCACCCCCTCTACTAATCCCGCTGTGTCGTTTGGCTATCCTTAGGGTTGTCGGCTAGCCTGTCGCCATCCCTCTTCAATCCACGCCAACAGCATCGACGCCATCACAACTAGAGGAAGAG